AAAATAAAGCAAATATTTTTTTAGTGACAAATGTAATAAATTAAATAAGTTATAGTTATCAGATAGACCTTATTTTTTTTGTAGACGAAATACATGAAGTATCTGACAAATTAAACGGTTCGAATTATCGAAACAAGACTTGTGATAGATCTTACGGGTCCAAACAACACCTCCAATCCAAAATATGAAGAAAGGATTCTCCTCATTTCTTTAAAGCAAGCCTTTAGGGTATCTCCATCGGTTCACCAAATATGTCATCAAATTTGAGTAAAAAAAACATGAATTCCTTTATCTGATATTAGCCACTCCAACAGTGAATCTATAGTTGTCATCAAAACACAAGTCGGCTGGGGGGATGATCAGCCGGACGTTCGACCGGTCGACCAACAACTATACTCCAGCATAGCAAGTGCACTGCTTGATCACGAGTCAGTGAGGCTTCGTTATGAAAAGCAAAGGATTCTTTCTCTGAAAATAGAGAGAGAAAGTGTGAGAAAGTCATGGAAAAAGTGAGTCTTTTGTTTTCTCTGGGTCGTGTTTTGATCATGGAGGTCACAGAGGTATATAATGAGAGATAGAGCTTATTGATTTTGCTCTGAGTTTTCTAGTTTTTGGGTTCAAGAAAGCTTTGTTTCACCATGGAGCTTAAAGCTGGTCTTTTTGTTTTTAGCTACAATCCTATATCATCTCATGTGCTCTCTGTCTCTCTCTCTCTTTCTGTCTCTGTCTCTCTCTATATATAAGTGGGTTTTGGTTTTTCGTGGCATGAATTGTGTATTTGTTTTTGAACAAAGAAACCATTAAAGCGAGCGCTAATGGAGGATTGTGGTGGCTCTTTACCATCACTAACAGACAAATACAGAAGACCCACTTCGTCAACTTTCAGTTCTCCAAGACTGTTCACTAGTTCACTAGACTATAACAAATTGATCATATAAGGCTTTCTTTTGGATTTGCTGAGTATATTATCTGATTTGCATATATGTATTGATCAAATTTCTTTTTTGTATTGGAGAATCTAGTTTTTATTGTTTGTGAAAGTCCTCTTTAAATCAAAATGCCTCATTGGAAGTTGCCCCAAATCATGATTTTTTGAACCAACAAAGAAGGCAGATCAAAAAAAAAGATGCATAAGTGGTCATTCGGGGTCAAGTGGGAGGTCGACCGGTCAATGTAAATTTTTCACAAATTTTATCTTTAGGTGGTCATCTGGAGGGACATCCCGCCGGTCGTCTGGTGGGTCAACACTTAATAGCTATGCATAGTAAATTGCTGAAAGGTGCAAGACATCCTCAGTTTGGTGAAAGATTTGAGATGTTCTCAATTTGATACAGCTTTGATAAAACCATTGGAGATCAAAAAAGTGTATTTTTTTGCCAAATTTAAATTTGGTAATGGATTTAGATAACGTTGAAGATGGCCTTATGAGTAGTGCGTGATGTTAAGTTAGGTTAAACTTAAAATGATACATATATTCTTATTATATGGTATAAATTCATATGAACCTAACTCGACTTAGACTGATTTTTGTCTAGTCTTAGTTGAACATGTTTTTAGAAAGAAAAAAAAAATTTGAGACAAAATGAGGCTTGTAAATTAGAAAGATTATTAATTGGTTTTGGGTACTACGTAGTCATACCTCATACCAATCATAATTCACTATACTTCTTCATATTTTACAATCACCCAACACAAATTTATAACAGTCCCGCTAGGTAGCTCGAATGGCTCGAATTCCAAGATGACGTCGTTTTGGCCATTTTTTTTCTTTTTTTCCTCTCTTTTCTCTTTGAAATAGAGAGGCCAGAGAAGAAAGAGAGAAGAAGAGAGAAAAAGGACGAATAGAGAAGAAAGAGAGAAGAGGGAAGGGGAATAGAGGGAGCGAAACTCCCTTCATCCATCGGCGTCGCCATCACCGTCGCAAACCCCTCTACCTATCGACGCCGCCATCGACCCTCCTCTGTGTGTATACACAGATCTGTGCTCTACCTCCACCCATCGGCGTCACCATCACTGTCACAAACCCCCCATCCACTTGCGCCGCCACGACTCTCCGCTGTGTGTGTATACACATGGATTTGTGAATAAATCTTTCTATCTGTTCCCCCTTTCTTCTTTTCTCTTTTTCCTCCTCTCCTCTTCTTCTTCTCTCTTCTTCATCCTTTGCTTTTCTTCTTTTTCGATTTGCTTCAGAGAGAAAACATGGGGGGAAGGGAAAGAAAAAAAATTCAAAACGACGTCGTTTAAGGCATTCGAACCAGTTGGGGCAAAAAAATTTCGAGTCACAAAGCATTTGTGAATTTATAAATTCTGCACATTCTATCAATCACAATCCATTAAAATAGGAATTAGGGATGCTGTCACGCATCCCGCGCAACAACATTTGTTGTACAACCAAATGGGCCCATTTTGGGGCCTATTTTGATAATCCGAACCGTTCACATTTTAGAATACATCAAATAGAATATGCCTGCAAAAAATCAAATTAATCGAATATCATTTAACTATTCATCTACACACATTTATATTCATTTTAATACTTTAAATCACAATTATTATTTATTTTTGTAGATACAAATGTGAGTGGATGAGTAGATAAACGATGTCCGATTAACTTAATTTCTTACAGATATGTTCTACTTTATATATTCTAAAATGTAAACAGTTCAAATTATCAAAATAAATTCCGAAATGAACCTATTTGACCGCACATCCGATGCTGGTGTTCATCTCGCGCAACATCATCTACAACTCCATTAAAATATTACGTTACGGTACTCCAAGGCCCCGTTTGTTTGGAGAGTTAGAGGAGGGATTGTGATTGATAGTGAGATAGGACCCACTAACATTGTGTTTGTTTTGAGAGATGGGGAGAGAATTGATAGTGTGCTTCGGATTCGGATGGGCTTCCCCAAGGGGATTTGGATGGGCCTCCAAGGCTTGGTATTAGAAAAATAATCTCCCGAATTAGAAATTTTTTATTTTTATTTATTTTTTATTTTATTTTTTGTATGTTGGGTATTTTTTTTTTTGAATATTAATGTTTAATTTTTTATATTTTTTGTTAAGTAAAAATTATTATTTTATTTTTTTTATTTTTTTTGGAAATTATTTATTTATTTTTTATTTTTTTAAATTTTTTTACATATTAGACATTTTTTTAAAAACATTAATGTTTAATATTTTTTTATTATTTTATATAAAAATAATTTAACAATCTCTACACTAACAACTATTATCAAAACAAATACAATTTTATTTAATCATCTCACTAAATCTCTTCTATTTTACCCCTGAAAACAATCGGACAAAAGGCAAACTAAGAGCATCTCCAATGGGAGCTGCTATTTCACTTGTCAAAGTTAAAAAATGACAAGAATGGCAAAAACAGGTCTCCAATGGTCTGCTATTTCACTTGCCAAAGATGACAGATGCCATATGTGTTGTCAAATATGGCAAGTGAAATAGCAGCTCCCAAGCTTGCCAAATCAGCAAAAATGAACAGCAATTTGGCACCAAATTCAGTTGAATACAACAGAATTTAAACAGTAGAGAACCTATTTTTCAAAATCAAACCCAATTTTGAGATGAAAACAAATTTCAGAATGAAATTGAGACAAACCCAAATTCAGTTTCTCAAATTTTATTTTATTTTATTTTTTTTAATTCATTTATCACCAAATCTCAGTCAGATATGAAGAAAATCAGATATGAACATCAAGATATGAATGAAATTGACACATATATGAAGAAATTGAGACAAATATGAATGAAATTGAGACAAATATGATATGAAAATCAGATGAACAAAAATTAATCACAAAGAATAATTAAGAAAATTTGAAGAAAAAAAAATACCATGGAGGGGTTTCGATCACCGATCATGATCACCGATCCACATCAACAACCACGATCACCGATCCACATTAACAACCAGAAGGGGGGTTTTGATCCACATCACACAGTGAGAGACTGAGAAGGAGACCGAATGTGAGAGAGTGAGAGAGTCACAGAGGGGTTTCGATCATGGAGGAGAAGGGGGTGTGATTTCAGAAGAGGGAGACAGAGTGGGAGAGTGAGTGAATGAGAGGGAGACAGACTGAGAGAGTGAGAGATGTTTCGATCATGGAGGAAAGAAGGGAGAGACCGATCCACATCAACAACCATGGAAGAGAATGAGGACTGGTTTCAGAAGAGGGAGACAGAGTCAGAGAGTGAGAAAGTGAGAGAGTGAGAGGGAGACAGACTGAGAGAGTGAGGAGTGAGAGGGAGAGGGAGAGGGAGGGGATGAGGATGGATCATTTTAGATGTATGGAGGCAGACGGTGATGCCTCAGTGTAATAAAGAGCCGTTGGGCTCTCGTTTTTTATTTATTTAAATTTTTTTACATATTGGGCATTTTTTTAAAAATGTTAATGTTTAATATTTTTTTATTATTTTATATTTATTTTATATAAAAATAATTTAACAATCTCTACATTAACAACTGTCATCAAAATAAACACAATTTCATTTGATCCTCTCACTATGAATTTTCTTTATTCTATCTCTGAAAACAAATGGATAAAAGGCAAACTAAGAGTATGTTTGGTTTGTGTTTGAGAGATGTGTTTTAGAGATAAAAAGTATAAAAAGTTGTTTGGTTTGGTTTTTTTTAAAAGATGTTTTGGAAAATTATTTTGAGAGATAGTTTTGGAAAAAGTGATTGATTTGATGTGTGTGAGAGAGAGATTTGTTTTCACAAAAGACAAAAAATAAAGAAAAATAAAATCACAAGAAAACCTATATCCAAACAACACCTACAAATTTGGAGGAAAAGTTGATTAAGATTTGCTAAAATAGCAAATGACTATTGGAGCACCATTGCTATAATTTGACAAAATAATACTATTCATTGCCAAATTATAGCAATGGCAATAGCATATGGTTGGAGATGCTCTAATAACTTCTCCGTAAATTGACTAAAGTAGCCCCGTAGATCATGAGTTGGCAGTGTGTGATTGGCAGCTGATTAATACGGTTCATAGATGGCAGTCCCTATTTATACACACAAGACACAGGACATAACAGAGCGGTAGAGAGAGAGAGAGAGAGACAGAAAGAGATGGAAGGCGATGTCGACATGGCCGGGGCTGAAGATGGAGCTGTCATGGTTCTCTCTCTCTCTCTCTCTCTCTCTGCCTCTCTCTCTTTCTTATTTTTCTCTTCATTTAGTTACTCAATATTATTTTTTTTTTTGAAACCCTAATTTTTGATTTGTTTATCTGTTGGTAGGAGCTGGACAGCATGAAGAAGAGGTTGAAAGAGATGGAGGACGAAGCCGCCGCTCTTCGTGAAATGCAGGCCAAGGTCGAGAAAGAAATGGGTGCCGTACAAGGTCCTTTCTCTCTCTCTCTCTCTCTCTACTCACTTCTTCTAGGGTTTTGCATTACTTTTCTTCTTTTTATCTGTTGATTTCATTGTAAATTTTGTTGTTTATATATGTATGTATGTATGTGTGGCTCTGCGCCTATCTTGTTGTGTTTCAGACGAGATCAAGGTGTACATTTGTTTTGCTAAAGGTATAATGTCACTTTGGTCCTATCAAACTATGACAATTGTGTCACTTTGTCCACGAACTATCAATTTTAGGAATTAAACCTAAAACTATTGAAATTGTTTCACTTTGTCCTAAAACTATTACAAATTTTTAATGAAAAATTGCACTTTGCCTCTCAAACTATCACATTACATTAACAATTAACAGCTAAAACTATTGAAACTAATTAACTTTGCTCAAAATCATTTGCCATGCCACGTTACAATGTTATTTCACTTTACAATTTCTTATGGAATACGTCATAAATTGTCCACAGGTGATAGTGTAAGGGGTATTGGAGAGAAAAGGGAGCCCTTCTCTTGCCAAATCCATGCCAACTGTAAGGGGAGGGTAGTACTAGTAATGCTATAATCGGGGCCATGTGTTGTTAATTGATTTCATTTTGAACTTCCAAATAATTTCATCTTCTCTATTTATCTTTATTCTTTCAAGCTTTTGTAGGTCGTCTTGCTTTTCTCTCTATTGATTCTATTTTTCTCTTAAACTTGGTAATTCTCTTTATGTAATGGTGATGATGATAATATTGAGTAAAATTTACATATATCTATTTTTCTTCGTATCATTCACTTATTTCCTTCTGTATACCAATCAGATCCTGCTGCAGCAGCTGCAAGTCAGGCAAATAGGGAGGAAGTAGATTCTCGTTCAGTGTTTGTTGGGAATGTGAGGCCTCTTTCTACATTAAGTTTATGGTTGCCTTTCTTGAGTTCTTTCCTATTAAATAACATATACTTGTATGTTAATTTTTGGGATGGATTGTTAAGTCCATGTTCCATTTTGTTCACTACATTTGAAGGATGTCGTCTTCAGTTTTTCTTACTGGTAGAATCTACCATGTCTAATTTCATTTTGAATTAAACTATACTATACATGTCTACCTCTAGGTTACCTTTGATATACATGTCTACCTCTAGGTTACCTTTGATATCATGTTTATTAGATTATACTATCGATCTGTGTTACAAGGACTTGAGAATGAGTATGGGTGTGAGTGTGTGTTTAGCTGTGGAATCCTAAATCCTAGGATATAAAGATATGTTTCCAAAATTTAGGTGCGTACATGTTTGTGAAAGCATCTTGAACATTTAAATATATAATAGTATTTTGTATAATGTGCTAACATAAGATATTATTGAGGAATGTACTTTAACTTAAAAGGGGTTTTGGGAAAAAATAGTTTTCTATCTCCCATTCATTTGAGAGGCTAGAAATTTGTCTTTGCTATTAAATGCTAGTTTCTTCTTCTTCAAAAACTGTAAAAATTAGAGGATAGAAGTGTCTAATTTGGGTTCGGGGTTGACATATCTCTTATCCTTCGCCATTGCAATGGACCTGAGTACGCTTGTGGTAATAGAGGATTCGATGTGCCACGGCTAATAATACATGTGGTTCCTATTTAGAAACTCTTTAGTTGCAGCATTGTGCACCTGTAGGGTTGTGTCATGTCCCCAGTCCTTGTATAGTTGAGTCAGTATGCAAACTTAGGGAGCTGGGGTGGTTTGATGCTCCCTCCCCCTCCCACCTTCTTTACCTACTGTTGCTTTCTTCTTTCCTTCTGACTCCCAAGATCTAAACTGCTGACTTCACCTTGGCATGTATGTGGTGCTAAAAAGAGAAAATTCGAACATCATACTGGATCTACTTGTCCAGTAATTGATTTTATTCAGTTATGATGGTCTCTTTGGTGTTCATGTGTTTTTCCTGATCTTGAGATATATATCCCCACACTTTTTTTGCCTTGTGATTTCTGCATTTTGTACAAATATGGGGGTTGTTGATCAACATTTCATGTTAACAGATGATTAATGATATGCGGGAGTTTTTCAGTTCTAGAATTTTTGTTTGACTTCATCTTTGACTGCAATCGCAGGGTCATGCCTCATTCTTCGAGTTCTCTGATTAACTAATGTTGGGATGTGAAGTCATTTTGATATTAATTATTCTTGCACTAGAAAATGACGAGAAAAATAAATTTGTAGTAGCCTGGAAGAATTTAACAAATGCACTCGAGGCGTTAGGCCTACTTGTGGCATCCAGGTGAAGACGGAGCTTTCATGTGAAGTTGTTTTGCTTGACAAAGCATTGGGCCCTAATGTTCAAACGGGTGAGATCATTACCACTTGATTTGTCAACGAGCTATGGCGGGCTTAAACTTGGTGGAGTTTGAGCGCCACACGGGCAAAAAATTGATTCGCTGCGCCACTGGAGTATGTGGAGACCAAATGATGAGTTTCTGACTCAAGTTGGAAGAGCAGAACGGACAGACTCAACCAGGTTGGATTAGTAATGTGCTTCGAAGTGTGAGATCGGCCATGGTTCTGTAATGTGTTAATTGCCAAGTCAGAGTGCTGCTGTTGGTGGTGGTTAACGCTTCAAGGATATCTAGATACTGTGCTGTTTATGGTGAGGGGTCTTTGATCTCTCTCTGTTTCTCTCCCTTTTTATAATATTTTATTTGCACAGTAGGGATATACAGGGAACTTTGATTAATTGTTATAATTTTTTTTGTTTGTCATGTTTTACTCAGATTATGAACATTAAATGCACATTACTATTACTGCACTGACCCTGGCCATATGAAAATTCAACACCTTATTTCTTTAATTTTTTCTGTTATTTGTATAAGGATTGTTGAAGACTCATAGGCATAGTTATCAGAATCCCGATTCGGATCCTACGATCCTACGATCTTACGATCTATTTAAGTACAATTGATCCGGATCGTGTAAAAAACTCCTTATAGGTAGGATCTTTCGATCCTGATAGTGGGATCTTATAGGATCGTAGAATCCCGATCCGAATCCGGGGTTGACCCTAGATGGGATAAGTGAAGTTGTTTTATTGTTAAAATTGGAGAAATGTTCTGTTGGGATGACATGGATTGTGCATTTACCTTCCTCAAAACTGAAACTGAGAACCTCTTTTTCTTCTCCCTTGGTTGTGCTGTAACTTGCCTGCTCAACCCATAAAAATCTGATTTGGACTGAAGGATGTTGACATGAGATTGCAGGCAGTGTAGTTGAAAAATAGCTTACATTGCCCCCACGTCTTGTGCAGAGAATCAATGATCATATCTGATTGGTTATTTCTGTTCCATAATTTGCTGCTTGTGGAAATTGCTATCTCAGAGCAATTTATCATGCTATCGGATTTATAAATACTCTATATTTTGTCAAGTATGCTTTGTTGCTTGGTTTTTTCAATTGGTGGCGGAAACTCTGTATATACTCTATATATAGTAGTTATTTCCTTTTGTTATTTGACTTGGCTCTTCCTACCAAAGTTGCTCCCCCTGGTAACGATATCTGACTTTGTTATAACGCTTGCTCAATTCATTGTTATCTTATCATGATTGATTTCTTTTTGAGGACAAAACTGATGGGGCTAAAACTTGCTTTAAAGGTGGATTATTCATGTACCCCTGAGGAAGTGCAGCAGCATTTTCAGTCTTGTGGAACAGTTAACAGAGTCACTATTCGGACCAACAAGTATGGCCAACCAAAGGGGTATGCCTATGTGGAATTCCTTGAAACAGAAGCTGTTCAGGAGGCTCTGCTTCTGAATGAATCTGAACTTCATGGCCGCCAATTGAAGGTCAAAAAATACAATTTCAACATATTATAGCAGATTTTACTAAGAACTCTGCAAACTTGAAATGTTGAAAGACTTTGGTTGAGTTTTCCTTTTTTAACAATGCAGTTTTTTGCTAATATTATCTCAGGTATCAGCCAAGCGTACTAATGTCCCTGGGATGAAGCAGTTCCGTCCACGGCGTCCCAACAACCCTTATATGGGTTTCCGATCGAGGAGTGCATATGTGCCACCTTATTTCTACAATCCATATGGATATGGGTATGTTTCTTTGTTGTTGTCTTCTTGAATTTATTTTGTATCAACTTTGCTCCGCCAACCAATTCTTGCCATGTCCCTGTTTTGTTTACAACTGAAACTTAAGGTTTGCTTTAGACAAAAATACTGTTAGTTGATTTGGTCTTTGTTTACGTTGTCTGTTGCAGGAAGGTTCCTAGATTCAGAATGCCTATGCGTTATAGCCCTTACTACTGAAACTTGAGGTTTGCTTGAGACAAGAATACTCAGTTTATAGAAAAATTACATTCTTAGTGTTCTCTTCTCTCTCCTTAACATATGCAGGATGATCTTTTGCGTAAGATTATAATCTTTTGAAGTCTTGGGTCATGAGTAGACTCGCTTGACAATGAGCACTTAGTTGAGGGTGATGGTCATTGTAATTATGATGGTTGATCCTACCGCGATGTTGAGTCCTTTTTAATTTTTTTTTAAATTTTTATGACAAATTGGATTGTATGGTGAGCTCTTATTGCATGACTCTCTTTTTGCATCAAATTGACTCCTAGTATTTGCTCCTGACTAGGGTTGCAAACGAGCCGAGCTGAGTTTTAGTATGTTTAAGTTTGTTTATTAAGAGTTTAACGAACTTGAGCTTGAGCTCAGTAAAAATTTAACGAACCGAGTTCGAGTAAAGTTGGCTTAGACTTGACTCGAGCTCAAGCTTCTTCACGAGCCAAAAAAATTATAAATTCATATTTGTGTATGAGATTAAAGTTATAATTATATATACGATATATATAAACATATTAAAAAAAAATTCTATTTTATCAAAATAATAATATCTACTACTATTATTATATAAATGTATTATCTATAGTTAGTTATTATTTATATTTATATTTTTTAAATATATAAATAATATATTTATCTTATTTTTATACATATTTTTATATTATTTAATATATAAATAATAAATATGAAACGAGCTACCTAACGAGTTGAGTTTACGAGCTAAGTTTTAAAATGTTTGGGTTTGTTTATTAAAAATTTAACAAGTTTGAGTTGGAGTTTAAACTCGAATGCAAAAAAAAAATTAACGAATAGAGGTTGAGAGTTTATTTTCATGTGTTTAATGACTAGGAGGAAATGAGTTTGAGTCTTTGGAATGAAGTTTGCGAGTGAGACTTGTGCACATTATTCTTGTGCCATTGGTTTCCTGTCACCATGCTCTAGGTGGAGTTAGTGTCAGATTATGGTTCAAATTTGTCCTGAGCGAGTGTTTTCGCATTTCAGTGTGTTTACTCCTGTGTTGTTGGGTTCTCTATGTCTAGCTCCCCAGTTGGTACAAACTTTTATGATCACTAGACTTCTATGATTAGAGAATAGTTGTTACATCCTATCCGAGTTGTTTCCTCTTATTTTTGTTGTCTAGAAAAAAGTAGGTACAAAATGATATTGCTTGTCACAAGTATCGGTTGAATAGTGTCATACAAACAAAAAAATTGTACACAATCATTATCGAGGTAATTTTTTTTTTGTCTTATACCCTTATCTTTTCTATCCTAAATGCTAATCCTTAAACCATCAACAACTGTTGGCCACCACCCCAGCCACATCCAGTCATCGGCCACCCATCACATCACCTCTCTCTTGGCGTTGTGTGACGGATTGCCTTGTAAGGCTAACTTCGTGACGTTTCGCTCACAGTGGTATGGCCATTTGAGTGCTCAAGAGTGGCCGTTGGAAGTGCCTCAACGTGGCCTAACATTGGCCCCTAGCAGCCCAAGGCATGCGGGCCACCAGCAGCTAGCATTAGCAAGGTCACAGCCCATACAAATAGCCAGCGCTAGCTGCCAGTAACAGCACGCAGCACTAGCCAGCAGCACCAGCAGCATCACACAGTAGCAGCAGCTCATGCCAACAGTGGTAGCAAGCAGCAGTAACAGCAGGCAGCAACATCAGCCAGCAGCAGCCTGATGCCAGCCAGCCAGCAACAGCATGCCACCAACAGCAGGCAGCAGCAGCAGCAGCGGCAACCAGTAACAGTAGCCAACAGTGCATATTTTTGGTGCATTGTTTGGGCATCTAAATGAAGAAGTTTCGAGTTAAAATTTTTACTAGAAAAAGGTCTTAGAGGAAGTGTTTTCCTGACCAAGTTTCATGATTTTTCTCAATTTGTGGAATTTATGAAAAATTATTATGACTCCTCCGACATATTCATGTTTCCTCCTGCTAGAGGGCTAATTGCTTAACAAGCATATATAAAGGGGCAAGGTGTGCTACCTACCTATCTTCCTGTCCAAACTGGGCTTCAAGTGAGCAACCTTGGGACAACTCAAGGGCGGGCTTTAGGCATCCAGAGGGGTGTCTAGAGTCTCCACGTGGGTTTGGGAGCCTCATGGACGATGCAATAATGTAGGCATTGCGCATGCCTCATGAGTGAGAGATTTACCACGTTGTTTCCATTATGCCACACAATATGACATCTTTGGGACTTGTTTTGGACCGAATGGGTTATCAAGGCACCACCAAAGGCCTCCTGTGCCAACTCAAGTGCTTGGTTTGGGTCAAACCTTGCATGAGGGAATCCCATGGCTTAAGCTAAGCGGTTGGAAGGTAACATCGCAGATGTGGGCTATCGAATAATGGCATCAAGCTATGCATTGACTAAGTCCATTGAGGGACTACATTATGCTACAAACAAGCTACGGATTGAGTGTTGCGTTACTCATGCTACACGTTGGTACAACGCTAAGGTGCGCAATGGCCTTCGGTGGAATCTAACACACGTGTTGGCACGAGGATTACGCCGTGGGCAAGAGATTGACCCTCGGTGGCTTATGGGCTTTGCATGACCGTTTGGCCATTCGATAGACATCAATTAAGGCATGCTTGACCCTAAGACACTTAAAGATGCTATCAAAGACCCAATGTGCAATGTTGGCTTGTCGGCTAAGTCGAGGACCTTTGCTAACACATTGTCGTGTGGCTAGGCACCTTAATGACATAAACCTAAGTTAGGCGAGCACCTTGCTTGATGTAACGCCCTTAAAATAACAACATTAAACCCATTAATATAGACATGCATTGATATACAAAAGCTTCACATTCTTCTATTCATCAGAGTACTTCATTACAAAAGTATTACATGTTAACAATAAAAGCAAATGCCCTACGGGCTTACAGCTTTCCAAGTTAACACTTGGTTACAAAAGAGAGTACTAACTCAATTACATATTAAGCCCTTGGCTTGAATTTACATGTAATACATCAAAAGAAATAAGACAATAAAAGTGTGTCCGCCTCTAGCCTCCCAAGCTAAGTCCTTGGAGGTGGTATGCTACTTGTACCTGAAAATGATATTCCCATATAGGGTGAGCCACGGCCCAGTAGAGATATACTAAACCAAATATGAACAATGGCTAAAAGATTAGCAGTTGATAGATGGGCAACACTGATACTTTCCCTTATCACACTTTACGGTTTCATGACATACAAGTCCATGTTACAATCCATTTTTCAATTCCTTTCAATTCTCAATTTATAACCATGGCTCAGAACCTGGCCAAACAACTTATATGAGACAATAACTCATATTAAGCACTTTCCCATTTCATAACAGATAAGCATATTAGCTATATCACACACACCAACAGATATGCATACAAGCTATATCATCACTTCCACAGATATGCATAAAAGCATTATCACACTTCCAATGACAAGCATATGAGCTCTGTCAACACATTACTAGATAAGCATATGAGCTCTATCTATGGAGTCCATCCCCTATCTCCTCCCAAACAAAAATCCGGTTTAGAGGATGATACTCCTGTGGCACAGTAACCGTGGAGTACATCCCCTATCTCCTCCAACACACCAATCATAAACAAATTATTACATCATACACAACAATATTTAATGTTTCTTTCACCTTCAACTCAATCAATTCCACATGATAGTTTCAGTTTCCTAATCTATCATGTCTACAACAATCACGACTATCCTCCACCGATAGCCCAAAGCAGTTATTTCTATACAGAAAATAAATGCAACAATGGATATATAATCAACATTTCAACTAGGTGAGCAATAAATAATCCAACTACACCCCTTTAATCCCAAGCCTTTCCAAAATCAATTTCTCATTTCTCATAATTAATTATACAGATTAATTAACCAATGTAATTAGGACATGTTCCATAATTAACATTACAACCCGTAAGTTCCATTTTCACAAGTGTTTCAACATTAATTTCACCTTTTCATGCCAAACATGCATCTAGGTTTTATATAGCCAAAATTCCAACTTTTGTAAAAATTACACAAAGGCCCAAACTCTCTCAAAATCACCCAACAACCCCCAACATATCAAAATGCATAAATTTAAAGACAAATCTCATAAAGAAGAGTAGGATATCCCTACCTCGAAGTTAGAGCTCGGATGGAGAAGAGACCAAAACCAAAGTGCTCCAAAGACCAAGATTCTCGGATCAAAACGACGCCCTCGACGATCAACACAACTATTACAAAGGCCGAAGGTGAGGAACTCACCCTAGCTAGATCAAAATCTAGAGAGAAGGCAAGATTTTAGAGAGAGGAGCTCTCAAAATGGCTTTTAGAGAAAGTAGGAGAGAGAAAGGAAAGTAAAAAGTGATTTAAAATCACTCAGCGGATAACTTATATACGTAAGACCCGCTCGAGCGGAGAACACAACGCTCGAGCGCCAAGGATAAAAATCTGGACACGCTCGAGCGCAGTAAGGCCTGCTCGAGCGCCAAGACACAAGGATAAAGCATTTTCGCTCGAGCGTGAAAACCAGTCCGCTCGAGCGTAGATTTCCACCGCCCAGAACTTATACCCAGAAAATACTACCCGCTCGAGCGCCACAAAACCCGCTCGAGCGTAAACAAACCCGCTCGAGCGTAAAAATCACATGTGCAGAAGTTTTGCAGAAACACGAAATACTGAAGGTGTGCAATCCCTGCTCGAGCGCAAGAAGACCCGCTCGAGCGGATCGCCTAAAAACTGGACAACAAGGAATTGAAACCAAGGCCTAACCAACTTATAACAACCCTGCTCAAAACATCCTAAAACTCAATCAAGGGGAATTAAAGGACGGCAACAAGATAGATACCACTACCAACTTCACGGAACCGAGTCCGGAACACAACAGAACAGTAAAGGGACAACCGGGATCGCTATACTTGATGTAAGCTTAGCGTTATGAAGCGACTTATGCCGTGCTTGGTGCACTCAAGGCGTTAGGCCTACTTGTGGCATCCAGGTGAAGACGGAGCTTTCATGTGAAGTTGTTTTGCTTGACAAAGCATTGGGCCCTAATGTTCAAACAGGTGAGATCACTACTACTCGATTTGTCAACGAGCTATGGCGGGCTTAAACTTGGTGGAGTTTGAGCGCCACAAGGGCAAAAAATTGATTCGCTGCGCCACTAAAAAAGTCAGTTCGTGACAGTTGGTATCAGAGCTAGATCACTCATTTGGGGTGAGCTTGATCTAGAGTAGACATCCAGCTATCTTGTGATATCATTTCTCCATGGACCCCGATGCCGTTGTT